GAAGGAGAGAAAATAATGGAAAAATGTGTGGGTGGAAGATTTTGGTTGTTAAATTTTTTGGCTTTAAACTGGATATAGAATATCGTATTTCCCCCCTCCACACTGCTGTAGTGGATACCTTTGTGTTTTTTGATGACAAACAATCCTTCTAGCCCTAAAGCAACAGTCAGCTACAATCAACAGAAATATGAGCATATATGTGTATAACCCCATTCACTTGCATACTTTTATAAAATTTTTTATGAAAAGCATAAGTTATCACTGTGTCAGAAATTAGCCATAAATGTTTAAAGATTTGTTGGATTAATGCTAAAAGTTAATTTATTTTTTTCTAAATTATAGTTATCAGCTAACTTTGGGAATTGGTGGTGAAAGCTTATATCAGATGCAATGAGGAAGTAAATTGTGAGACCCTGTAAATTAGTGTTCTTCAATTTTTTTTTAGCTGAAATCTGAGCACTTGCAAGTAAAATGTGCTTTATAAATGTTCACTTCTGAAGTGTCCATTTACATGCATACATAAAAACCTGTCAAAGTATCTGTATTCAAGGAGTGTTTTTATAATGGCTTTGTAAATAGTCAAGCAATACCTAGTTCCAATGCAGAGACACCATAAGAGGGTAGTTTTGAAAATAGCTTAGACGACATCTTCCATTGTAACCCTGAAGGTAATTCTGATAAAAACAAAAGCTTAAATTTGAGTGATCTTTGTACAAACAGTTAAAACCCAAGCCTAAATCTTCAAATTTCTGTATGACAAGAAGTATCGTGCCTCCAGGTTTACCTCATCACTAATTAGTGTTGTGATAAAGTTTGTTAATAACCAACATTTTAAGCACTTGCTTGAGTCAGTTTCCACATATGCAATGTGGTAGAAATTTGTGGTACTCTTCCTTCATGATTTGCCAACTGTGCTGACAAATTCTTCACTTTGTCATGTCCCATTAGGTTTGTCAGCTAGCAATGTGGTCACTACTAAAATGTTTAACTTTTAAACTGAGAAGTACTTTAAAAAGCAAGTCACTGAGAGATAGATGTGTTTGGATGCAAATTACGCTAGAGGACAAGAGGAATTATTATTATTTTTTTTAAATCCAGAAACTATTCACAACTCCATGGGCTAAATAATGTAAAATGAGCATAAAGTCACTGCTCCACAAAAGAGGGCCAATCTGTTTAGGGAAGTAACAAAAATACAGTCAATTACTTTGTAGCTAAAGTGGTGTGGCAGTTTATTCGAAATGGAGAATAAATCTTTGTTATGTACTGCAGTGTATAGAAAGTACCAAGTTTTCTTTAGCCAATTAGTTTATGAACTGGTGATTGTTTAGTCCTGACAGCACTGGATGTTTTACGACCTTCTGATATAACACACAAGCACAAAACACAAAACGTTACTCTGTTTCCTTCACCATTTCTCCCCTTCCCCCAGATGCTGAAGTTGTGTTAATCTTTTAAAGAGAAGAGCAGTTAAAATGCAACAGGTTTCAAAACATGTTAGATTTAAGCATGTCCTAAATGCTGTACCAACTCAAGCTCTTAGAACAGAAGCAAGAAAGCAATGGAGTAGAAGGCTACATTAACTGTACATGCCAAATATTCATTGAAGAGTGTTTAAGAAGGAAATACATTATATCAGATGAGACAGCCTGAGGGACACGAGGCTGCTGCTACTGCTCTATGTCCCCACGTCCATCCAGTAGCAAAGATGAAGACGTATCCCCAGCAGGCACACACAGAGAACACACACATCAATTATCTAAGCAGTTGGCCACAGAGATCACGGTCACTTCGAGCACTCACGTGACACAGATAGCACCATTGGCCTCGTTCTGCTCCCCTCTCTGGCTGGCCAGGGTGAAAATCCACTAGTGAGAGGGGACACTCACATATGTATACGTGCATATCCATACGTATAATAGAGAGCCCATACCCAGTGAACTGCTAGGAATTTAATAAGAAGACAGGAGAGACAGTGCTAATCAGGCATAGGTCACAATCAGACAGTCTTATTACGAATAAACTATTTACACATGACCAGCCCTTTTATCCTGTTATGTCTCTATCTACCCACTCTTGTTCCTCCTCAAATAATGTAAAACCCTTGCTTGTCTTCCCTTTGGTTTCTCCCCCAAACCTTGCATAATAAGTCCTGTGCTACCCCAAACTGTTTTTCCCCCATATCCTATAATGTGTCCGACATCCAGAGGCAGTTAGACAGCCTGCCTGTTAGACAGAATGGTGACCTGGAGAGCAGCTGCCAATGAGTCATGATGATGGGTTTCATGCTTGGACAATGGGGCTGATGGCTCTGCTAGGATAGCAGTGGGAGAGACTGAACAGGGTGGTTGCTCCTCCTGATTTGGATTCCGATCTGCCAGTATACACCCCTGTGGTCCTACAGGCCTGGGCAGGCTGACCTTCGATGGGCTGATTTCCTCTGTGATGGGCCTGGGAGCAGCCTGTCAGGGTATTATTTGTGCTAACACTGTTCTGCCAATGTCTCTCTGAGCTTGTTTGTGGGCTTGAAGTTTATCACACAGCCCAACAGGGTGAGTCAGGTCAGAGGTTGTTGCTTCACAAACCAGTGCTATAAAGCTGAATTGTAGAGCAAGTCCTCATGATTTACAGTAAGGAATTCTGATACTTGTGCAGAAGTGAATAGAGGATGAGCTACAGTGTTAAATGGTAAACTTTCAAGTACTGCTAGTGAGGGAAGGATTTTTATCAGCCCAAGTGATGCTGGCTCAAGATTTGGTTGCACTAAAAAGATACCCTAAACAGCAAATAAAACCCCCTTTTCAATAAACAAATACATCTATGTTTTAAATAAAGGAAATACTAGCATCTGCTAATATTCTGCAAGAGTAATAATTGAAATACTAGTAACAAGCATAATGTTTAATGATCGTTGCTTGGAAATAAGATGCTCTTTGAAGAGTTTATTGAGGTTTAGATGGGAACGGGATTTTCCCTCTTTTAAAAATATGAAGAGGGTTTTTCTGTTTAAAAATCACAGAATCAGAGAATGTCAGGAGTTGGAAGTGACCTCAAAAGATCATTAAGTCCAGCCCCCCTGCCAGCGCAGGATCACCTAGCGTAAGTCACACAAGAATGCAGCTCAGCAGTTAATTATGCTTCTTATTTTTAGGAAGTGCTGTAATAATAGATTTAGCTGAAAAATAGATAATTTTTCTGTTACAGTCCCCATCTTGTGTCTACATCTCCAGAATACAGTCACCTGAAAAGTGATAGGCTGATGACTCCATAGTCTTTGCGTTCTTCATTGAAAAACTGTAGGAATCATGGCTGAGACTAAAAGCCTTAAAAAGTATAACTGGGAAGAAAAATAAATCACTCAGTTCCCTCCTCCCAGCCTAACACATCTCAGCTACAGGATTACTCAGTTATCTAAACATTGGTGCTGTTTTCCTCATTAAAATCAGTGACACATTGAAATATGAAATATTATACAGTATTGAAACTACATAGAGTAGATTCTAATAAAATGTTGACAATTGTTAATAATAAATAATATGCATATTCTTTACAACACTACAACAAATTATTAATTAAATGAACATTTAAATGCATGAAAAACATCAGGACAGGATGAACATAAATCTGACGTTCAAGACCTTTTGCAATTCTATCAGGAATAAATCCACAGATGCTGAAATGAAATACGTTTGCTCTGAACAGACGTAACAAGACAAAGGCTAAATAGGCCTTTGAAAGATATTTTATAAGGCATAGGCTATTACTAGTAGAATTACTGTTTGCATGAATTTGGATGTTGTAGTAGGAAGTTAGAAAGTTGTCACAGCCCATATGATGTACCTGACTGTTCCCATGCTGAAGCTCCTTGTTCCTTTTTAAGCTAATAGATTTTTTATAGAAGAGATTTAAAAGTTCCCTCAGATAAACCATATTATATGAAAGTTATATGAAACAAGCTGGAAAAAAGTAATTTACTTGTTGATTTTTGTTCTTCATCGATTTTAATTGTTTGAATATCATGTTAATACTTCGTAGGTAGCTGCAGTTATTTCCTGCAGACCATAAAGTACAGTACAACTGAATAAAAGCCAGGTTTCAGAATCTTACCCAGTGCTTAAAAGAGCTGAGGTAGCTTTTTGATTCAGTTGTAATGCAACAATCAAAATATGAATATTAAAAACCACCTGTGTTTTTATCAAGTAGGACGACTCAATCCTGCAGTCCCCATAACTTTGCTAGTTTTCAGCAAAAGCTCCTACAAGAACTGTAGCTAGAAAGCTCAGACACAGTGGTCTGGAACAGACCTAACACAAGCCACACATAAAATGTTAATGCACCTATTCAGGCAACACTCACATTATTCTCCCTGCCCCTCTGTACACACACAACACACAGAACAGCTTTATTCATACATGTTACATTAAGTTTATAACCAATAGCAGGAGGTTTGTATGCTCCTACTAATCACTCATTGTACGATTCGTGTAACATATTGTGTACTAACAATGAGCACCCAATCCTCAGAAACAGAAGCAGAGTTTTTACATTGTGTGCAACTTGAGTTCAATTGTCAATAACAGAGCTGCCCAATTGCAAGGCGTATTTGCAGATCGAAGGGCCTCAGGTTCCTTTCACATAAATTCAAAATATTCTTTAAGAAAAATTCAAAGAAAGGTTTTTTAATAATTTCAAGAAAATTGGCAGCATGGAATTAAGTGCTTGGTTGACTCTCTCAGACATCAAAATTCATTCAATATGCTTTTGAAATTGATTTACAAGCAAGTATTATTTTTTAGTTCTTGAGGTTGAGGATAACTGTACAGATACGCTTGCTGCCTACAGGCACATGCAATGTAAAATAACCTATTTACTGAGAAACTTACTGCAACATTCTTACTGAGACCTTAAAAAATATCTTTTGTGAATTTCAGGATTCTCAGTGTCGCTGGAAATCATTGTGATATTATTCATTTGTAAAGGTGATTTTATTTTCTTTTCAGATTCAAGGCCTCTGCCAGATGTAGCCCTGACGGGGAAGTGCACCCGCGAGTGTGACGAATATGGCCACTCGGACTCCTGCTGGATGCCAGTTCGTACTTCACCTGAAAGAAAGCAGAAGAGCCAGCCAAAACTCTCCACTTTCATGCCTGTTGATGAACGGGGCAGTCAGGAAAAGCTGGCCAATGGAGAAGCCTCCCTCATGGGTGATCGCAACAGAAACCTCCTTAACAAAAAGTTGACCTCATCCTATGAGACCTTCAGTGCGGCTAGTTTCAGTAAAAATGAAGAAGGCAATCCAGAGGATATCCCCCTTACACAGACAGGGGAATACAAGCCATCTCCTGTCAATACACTCACTAGAAGAGAAGTTTACCTGTAGGCTAAAAAGGAGCGACAAAGTTCTTTCATATTATAAGAAAGAAAAGGGGCAAAAGTCTTAAAATCAAAACAATTTTAATGAAAAATAGGAAACAAAACCGAGGGGGCAACCAAAGAGACAAAAGATCTGCCTGCCACTTCTGCCTCCATAGCAGACATTTAATTACACTGTCTGCCTGACTATACTGTACAATGTAGAAAACGTTGCTACTTGCATGTATAATTCCCCCTCACTGAATTTTATTTTCCTAAATCTATGGTTGCAAATTCCTCCCCTAGTAACGAGCTTGATCAAAAAGAACACAACACACTGCTGTTTCCCCTCTGCAGAAGCATGAGTTAAGCCGCTCGTTTTGTTTGATCGTCATCTGGCTTGTTGAGGATAACAGGTCAGGGAAAATGTATTCAAAACAAATCATCTGAATATTGCTGATCCCCACCAGGGACAATCCTTCAGAAACCATACAGATATAGAGGTAAATACAAAGGAATAATCATTAATAGGCACTTTGTGAAGACCACAGCTTTAATACTCTCACCTCTCATCTGAGGCTGGAAGCAACAGAAACATGTTCAGCCTGAGACTGCAGTCAAAACCATGGCATACTTTCCTAGGATTCATGGACTCTGGTTCTGTTTTGTCCATAGAACAAACGTGTTCTTGCTGCGTCTCTTTTTCTCCTCTCTCGTTCTCTGTAATGATTACTTCAGCGTAAACACAATTAGTAACACATATACCGTAGGATAGTAATGATAAACTGTTGAAATAATTATTTTGGGCAAGACTAACATCTAGCTGGGAAGATTGTAATAACAAAAAGGCCAAAGATCACACAATGGATCAGGGGAACTGCTAAGTATTGGGGCTTGGCTTAGAAAACTGTTGTATTCACAAATACACACATGTACTTGTAACACACCTTCAGTTATATTTTGCACAGCAGCACAGTTCACAAGCCCAGATGACATTTTCTTTCCTTTTTTCTTTTTTTTTTTTTCCCCAGTGCGGTTCAGTTGAATGCCCAAAAGAAACTGATATGGGGTTTTTGTAATGACGCGACATGTTGCAACAGATGCTGCATACAGTATGCTGCATATGCCAGTTCCAGGGAATTTTTAAAATTGAAATTAAAAACTAATAGCAGTAATAGAAGGCTGCGTTAATGAGAATGCTTGGAGGGATGGAAAGGGTGGACAATGGGATGACGGAGTGACCAGAGAATATAACAAGTCAAACACAAAACCTCCTTTACAGAGTGCAAGGAACGGTTGCTAAGTCTTTTGTCATCAGTGTTGCAGATTACCGATTGCTTCAACTATGTCAAAGATAAAATGAAGGTTTTTCTTGAAACACAAGTGCATTAAAACCAAGAAAAGTGCAATACTAAATGATGTCAAGACTTGGAAACTTTAGGCAAGATAGAAAAGAGTCTGATAAACAGTGGTATGATACTCACCTAACAGGTCAAGATGAGTCAAAAGGAGTCCAACCTACCGTGATATGCAAGAGCACTGGGCTGTAATGATTCTCACGGTGACCCCTCCTTGAAAGGAAGAGGAAACAAAACAGGTTTTTTGTGCAATAAAAGCCACAGAACGTGCAGAACTTCAACCGGTTGCCTGGTAGCTGACGCTGTAGTAATAATGGCAGACTGAGCTCAGACATTCAGACGAAAGCGACAATCGAACAACACGGCAAGGACAGCTGGAGGAGGGAGGAAGCATTCAAAGCCCTGGCTGTTTAACCTGGCGTTAAGGCATGGCTAGATGACTCTCTAGTATACTGTAGTCACAATGTAGCTTTGGGTAGTTTCTTGCTTTGAAGAATTGCATAGAAATAACCTTAAGGTTAACCTTAAGCCTAAAGTAGAGGTTGGTAAATCAATACGACTCATCACATTTATCTTTTGGATTCACTTCTGCATTTAGTGGGATGTGCCATTGTCAGCCATTTCGTTCTCCTTTCTTGAGTTTACTTTCTTCAAGTAACATTAGTTCACGTATAGCAGTTATGGTGAATGGGCACATTTTAGAAAGAAAATATTAAAATCAAAGATGAATAATGATTGAACATTTTTATGTTTAATTATTTAAGTAATATGGAGAGATGCAAACTAGTACTTTGTTATGAGACTGCATACAGCAGTTACTGCTTTGTATAATCTGTAAGTACCTGTTTAAAAATGCTTCTAAAAATGCTTATGTAATGTATACACATTTTTCTTGCACGTTTCAACAGAATACACAATTGCATAACACAAATGTTCAACGGAATTTCCTTTAATAAGATTTTGTTTGATATTACACACAATAAAAAGTAAATTAGGTAGTTTGGTTCCATATACTCTTCGACCCTTTTTCTACAAGGCTAACAATACAGGTCAGAGAAGACCTTCAGATTAAATGGATCAGCGGTCACTCACCAATTTTTACACCACATAAGACAGTCATTAAATACTTTTCTTATGTGCATCTCCTTAGATGTAAAATGGGTGTGAAAGAATTTTTTAATAAATTCTATCTACTGTAAGTATTCACAGTAATTCTAGTGGAACTAGCCACTATTAATATGCTGATTACTCTTCTGACCTGGCATGACACACAAATATATTTTGTGTTTGTATTTTTCCTCTTTATTTGAGATAGGTTAAATCTGGTGCCACTCCATAAATGAGTGCTTTTGTATAAAAATACACAAATAAAACCATAAAAAATAATTAGGGTGAATGCAAAATATGCAACTGTGCCTTTTATACCTATTATTATGGTAAAGTGGTAGTTGGGTTTGGACACTGAGGGATAAGGGGCTATTCCAAACTTTTTTGAACCTGTATATTTACCTGTGTTTATTTTCTGAGAAATTATAAATAATATATTTAAAAACAAGCCTTTTGCCAAACTCAGTTAATGGACCAGTCTTAAGCATTATTAACACAAGGCTGTGGTTTAAGTAATTCTCCAGGATTTTATTTTTTTTTAATATTACACTTTGTGTGAGGCTTGGGGTTGTTTTCATTTGTTTTTAATTCTGCTGCCTGGAAAACTATGATCAGTCTATATTATAGTTATTTAGCAAGGTGTCACCAGTTCATGTTGACAGGAAAATAGACTTTTTTTTTTTTTCAGTTGCTTTTAGCAATCACAGCAATTCAGTTGTACAGTATTGAAATCATCCTTTTATTTTTTTCCATGGGAAACTCAAATGGGCTTTGCATGTATTTTACATTAGGGTACCTTTTTAGATTGCTGCGTTAATATATAACTTTATATGTACTAGAAAATTCAATAGCTTTGGTCTAAAATCTAATGCTCATTCTGGATCTCAGATCCACTATGTTTATTCAATATGGTTTCTGACTGGCCTGCTGCCTGAGTTTCAGGAAAAAAATTAAACATTATTTTTATGTGGGGGAAGAACTTAAATGGGATTGAAATGATTGGCTGAAAGACTACCCTAGGAAGTTGTCAAGTAGCAAAACAAAGAATACGGATAAAGACCTTGTCCTAAATTGAGCTGTCACCAAACACTTATAAGGAACCTGAACAATGAAATAGTTTTCCTGTTTTTTTTCATTGGTGA